ATGGTAGAGAGTATTTAAATAAGGATATTTATAATTTTATAAGGTATAAGGGCATAGAGTTGTTACCATGTCCACCTTATGTTCATGAGTTAAACGGAGTAGCGGAGAGGTATAATAGGTCTGCTATGGATATAGGTAGATGTTTAATGAGAGAAGCTAAAATACATAGGAGGTACTGGCCTGAAGTAATAAAAACAGCAGCTTATTTAAAGAATCGTACTATTGCAAATACAGTTGAAAATAAAACTCCTTATGAGATATTTTTTGGGGTCAAACCAAATGTAGAGCATTTAAAAATTTATGGAAGTAGAGTCTATGTTAGAGTTCCTGAAGTGTTAAGAAAAAGTAAATGGGATGATAAAGCTCAACTAGGAATTTTAGTGGGTTATAATGAAAATAGTTACAGAGTTTTGTTAAATAACAGAATAATTAATGCAAGGCATGTACAGGTAATTGAAGAAAATACTCAGTTAATTTGTTTGGAAAAAGTAGACAATCAAAATAATAAAGATTTGGAAAGTGATAATACTTTAGATGTTTCAAATGAAGAGGTTAAAAATGAATATGAAACCGATGAAAACTTTGTAGATGCAGATGAGACTTATTCTAGTAGTAACGTAAATAATAATAGAGAAAATGACGTTTTAGTAGAATCACAGAAAAGAAAGAGAATCCCAGTTTCTAGATATGGTAATCCAGTTACACACTTTATTTATGTTAACCATATTGATGCAAATGTACCAAATTCATTCGAGGAGGCGATGAACTCCAATGATAGTAAGCAATGGCAAATAGCCATGGATTCTGAAATAAATAGTTTAAATAAAAATAATACTTGGCAAATTGTAGAAAAACCAAAAGATAAAAAGGTAATTGATGTTAAATGGGTTTTTAAAAAGAAAAGTAATAATGAATATAAAGCTAGATTGGTTGTGAGAGGGTTTCAGCAAAAAGATTTTAATGAAAATGCTTACTCACCTGTTGGAAAAATGCAAACTTTGAAAATTTTATTGTCATACAGTTGTAAAAATAAATTATTTGTAGAGCAAATGGATGTTGAAACAGCCTTTTTAAATGGTTATGTAAAGTCAGAAGTTTATGTAAATCAACCAGAAGGTTATAAAACAGGAGATAATAAAGTTTACAAATTGCAAAAAGCTCTCTATGGTCTCAAAGAAAGTCCTAGAGTGTGGTATGATTGTTTTGATATATTTATAAAAACTTTGAATTTTGTTAGAAGTAGTTATGATTACTGTTTGTATGTTAAAAAAGCAAGCAAAGATCCAATATACATATTAATATTTGTTGATGATCTTTTAATATGTTGTAAAGATAAAAATAAAATAAAAGAGATGAAAACAAGTTTAATGAAACGATTTGCAATGAAAGACTTGGGGAAAATTAAAAGCTATATTGGCATAGATATTGAGTATAATGATGATAAAAATGTGATGACATTAAGTCAAACAAAGTATATTGAATCTTTGGCTGCAAAGTATAATTTGGTAAATACTAAGTTATATGATACTCCTATGGAAACAAATTTAAAATTAGAGCAAGCTAGTGAGGTCGATGAAAGTATTAAGTACAGAAATATAATAGGTGAATTATTGTATATTAGTACAGGCACAAGACCAGATGTAGCGTACAGCGTTAATTATTTGAGTAGATATCAAAGTTGTTATAACCGAACACATTACAAATATGCAATGAGGGTGTTAAAATATTTGTATAAAACTAAGAATCTAAAGTTAACATATTATGATAATGCAGATGCTGATATTTTAGACTGTATGGTTGATTCAGACTATGCAGGGGATAATGTGGATAGGAAGTCTACAACAGGTTTTATTATAAGATTTTTTGGAAATTTAATATTTTGGAAAACACGTAAACAAAATACAGTAACTAAATGTTCAACTTTTGCAGAGTATATTGCATTGTCAGAGGCAGTAACTGAAGTACTTTTTATAAGAAATTTGTTAAGTGAGTCATTTGATATAAACTTTTGTTATCCAATAAAATTGTATGAAGATAACTCAGGTGCAATTGCAATAGCTAAGTATGGTAACTTTACTAAAAATTCAAAGCACATTGAAGTGCAATATCATTATATAAACGAGAATTATGAAAACAAACTTATTGATATAATTAAAATTGATACAAAATGTAACTTAGCAGATATGTTGACTAAGAGTCTAGATAAATCAAAATTTTTGAAAAACAGGTTTGAATTAAGATTAATTTAGTTAAGAGTACAGATTATTACTTTAAAGTACTGTTTAAGTAAAATATTAAAACTGTAATAACTTTAAAATACTGTTCATGTAAGATAAAATGTTAAGATTATAAATTTAAGGAGGTGTGTTGTAATAAGGTAAATATTATAATCTTAAGTTAAATAATATAAGTAGCGCCATCTAGTGTTAAGTTGGCAAGTTTCTCATAGACGTCGATATATTATCTGTATTCTTCCCTTTTGTCGTCTGCATGGCGCCCATCATGTGCTTTCTGTGAGATTTTTAATAAAACTACGAAATATAACAAGCTATTATCTATTATTCAACCACATCCACCACTTCAACAGTAATAAAGACAGCATTTTAAAAGGTAGTAAGCATACTGATATGTGTGGAAAACTAAGAAAATACTGTTTAAAAATCGGTCCACTAGATATAACTGAAAAATAATTCAACGCTGAAACAGTACTCGAAGTAGTATTACTGCACTGATTGGTTTTTCAAGCCACAACTGCAGTAAGTTGAAAAATATTTTACGTTTTCAATACACTGATATAATGTAACTTCCCTCAATGGAATTCATTGCAAAATGATAAATTAACTGACTAAAGTAAAGCTTTACATTGGATTAAAAACGTAACGTATCAAGGCTTAATCAACGAAGAGCGTAGACAGAGATGCACATTAATTAAATTAAACTAGCCTTGACCAGCGACTTCGTACGCACAAATACTTAGGTGATTCCCATTACCGTGGGAATTTAGGGAAATCCTCTCTTGCCATGCCATGTTCCAGTTTCCTAAGTCCAGTCCTAGTTACTGTGCATTGTCAGTCGTCATGGAGGTCCGGAGGTTAAAGACACCCACTTCTCATGCATGAGGGCGCAGGTTCGAAACCTACCAACGGCAAGTAGCAATATGACTTTTTCCGACTTATATGTACTTTCTAAGATTATTTAGACACCACTGACAAACGGCGAAGGAAAATATCGTGGGGCAACCTAGGCTTATAATTTCTAATTATAAGTTTGAAATAAAGATTTCATGATATTATAAAGATATTATAACATTTGTGAAACATAATAAACTAATTATTATGTTTTTCGGTTTAATCACGTAATTGTTTGACGAGGAACTCGGCTAATTTCAAGCCATACTGGAGGCTCATATTCATGACCTGCATTCTCGACCCGCGACGACGCGACGACTGTCGCGCTGATACTCCACTGAGTTTGAAATCGCCAACCTGCACTGAGCAGCAAGGCGATTAATGCTGAAACCTTCTCCATGTAAGAAGAAGCATTTGGTCACCAGTGGCTACTTATAGGCTGTTGATGATGTGATGTTGTCTGTCAGTCAGTCAGTCACTTAGTAACGGAAGAGTTTTATAAATATAGTGAAAATTAAGTCAATCAAGTTTCTTAACTCTCCTTACCAAGCAGAAATTCGTTAATTTACGTAAAACGGCGCTCTCGTTACGGATCAACATTAATCATCTTGGGGCATGGACACGGCAATGTTTATTAAATTTCGCAAACAATAGAGGAAGCTGATGACTTGTATTTATATATGTTAACCAAAATAATAATAATATTATTAATTATCTAGATATTATTATTTATCTTTTATTTAAATACTGGCAACGCACTTGTAACTTCTAGGCTTATTTGTAGTCCATGAACGGCGACGATTGCTTAGTAAGCTGGCCTACGCAAAAAAAATACAATTTAAATAAACTGAGCTGGTAACCTATTTAGCATGAACATGAACATGTTGCTAATTTGTTTTGCTTTAGAGGTAATAGAGCCATAGATACTTCACCAACGGACGAAGCTGTACAATATGGTGATGTAGGTATCGTAACTGCTTACCTCGCTCTACTTACAAGTTCTGGGAATAAAAAGGTTGATTCATGTTTTGGTTTTACTATAATAAATGATTAAATAGATAAATACACAAGATATTATGAATGTGATAGTTGCTTTCTCAAACAAAAAAAAACTAAACCGTATTGGAATTTATTACAGTAAAGTAGGGTAAAATAGCTCGCAAATCGCACGAATATTTCAAACACGCACATTTTGAGTGGTTCCCCAAACTGTGGAGTATCACTCAAATAAAAATTGCATTCTGACATAACCATGTTTTAGGAAAAATAATGGTGTTGTTGATCAATCGTTTTTAGGGTAACGAAACGTCGATGGATGGTTACTGCGCCCCAAAGTCCATATAAAGCTATCCATCATCGTGTCTATACATACAATCGTACATATCTACATCTATTCACAAGTCATTACGGGTTCAAACGCGAAGAGTTCGATTCATCTGTGCGTCCATGCAAATCGGGTAGGTTGGTCGGTTTATGAAAAATTTTGAAGTGTCACTCTTCATTATTATACTCTGTGTCCGGTCATCAGCTTTATTATAGCGTATTAAATTCGTATATTTTCTGAACTATAGGTAGGTACAGTATGCCTAAGTGTGCTATAGAGTTAGAAATACGTAGTGCACTGTATTTACCAAAATTGATAGAACCAGGACCAAATAAATTAGATAATATCTATCAATTAATATTTTGATAGCGAGAAGTACCTACATTACAACATAAGCGTTGGGTTCCCCATTATTGTTCACGTTTCCAAAAAAGAATATAAAAATTCTTGCAGAAACCTAGATAAATCAACTGAGTACACACAGTTCCATATCCTCATAAACCGAGTTCGTTTTAAAATCCTTGTTAAAAGATGAATTACTTCCACAGGCACTGTTTACGACGAGCGATATGCGGTCGACAAGTGATACGGCAGTCAGCGTACTGCTACATGGAAGGCAGTTACTGCCACCATTGGATTCGAACCAGGATGCAGAGGAGAAAGGACCCAGGTGATCTAGCACATAGGTACCTATTCACATTAACAACGCTTTTTTCACATTTATTTAATTAATGCTGAATAACTTTACTGCTATATTTTTTAATTAGAAATTCTATACGCTATTATTAATTAATTTACGCGTATCTAGAAGTATTCGTACCGTGTTTTCTTCCTGGATGAATTTACATACTTTATTAAAGTCTAAAAATAACATTTTATGTAGAATATTTATATTACAACTTTCGTAAGGCATACTAAATTAATTATTATGTTTTCAGCTTACTCATATTAGATAATCGAGTAGAAATAACTAGTCCAGTTCCTCCTCAAATAATAGGGTAGTTTCCTCAATTTTATTTTAATGTCCGTCTGGTAGATTTATTTAAAACTTTAGACACGTATTTTTTCTTTTCTCACAAAATTAAATACTTTCGACGATATATTCATTTGAATTATATCGTGTGACGTCACAGCGTGTCACATTTTGTAGCACGTTATGACGTAACGACCTCCCACTCCAAAACTTAGCGCCACTTTATCTAAGTATTGCAACTTAATATGAGAAAATAAAAATATACGAGTCTAATATTTTTTCATTATCTAACTGACGGACTAATTAGATTTTTAATTTTGATTACCTGGAAACTACCCAATTACGTGAGTAAGCCGAAAAACATAATAATTATTTTATGTATAATATTTCTTATACTCTATCAATTTCTTCTATATTATGTCCACAATAATTAAAGGTATTAGTTAAATAGAACTCGTTATGTAATCAATGGATTGATATCCCGTTTTAGGCACAAAAACTGGTATCTGATTACTGATCACTGGCTGGACCTAGGCAAGTAGAAACGCGTTTTTCTAAGCGTAGGCCGAACTGGAATGTGGTTATAGAAATTCCTACATCGAGGCCTGTGTTTAGTAAGCAGTAGATACCTAAATAAATAAATTCTCATTCGATGAGATTGAGTTGCTCGGTAAGATTGAACGACGTTCAATTACTTGTATAGTGGTAGATAAGGAAAAGTATATCTTCTGAATTATCTAATAGAGAGAGAAAATATTCAAAGCGTTGTGTAACAGGACAATGAAATATTTTGTGTCCTTCTGAGTTTTATTAACAAGTAACATAACATAACATCACGCCTTTTTATCCCCAAATGCCACTGTACAAAGTAACACCAACTTTTCACTATATATGTGATGAGTCCCATGTAATAGAGGTGAGCCTATTGCCATATACCGGGCACATTTCCAGGCTCCGTGCTACTACTGACATTTTTAAAAACCCAGTAATACTTTGCTCGACCCGGGAATCGAACCCGAAACCTGTTGCCCGGTAGTCGCACTTGCGACCACTCGGCCAACGAGGCAGTCTTCAATCTTCAGTGAATAATAAATGAACATAAGTAATCATGTATATTTAACCCTGAATTCTAAATCACAAATGAAAGAGTTGTCATACAGTAACAGAACTCACTTAGCATTAGAAATCTACTTGCAAAGAACAATGAAATATCTGTAGGCTATTTGTATACGGTATTCTAACTTTGTGCCACAAAACATTAAAGACGGGAGTGTCGGCGAAAAGCATGATTTATGTCTGACACATGACAGTTACATATGCATATAACTTAAATTCCAGACAGCGAAATGTATACTATGATGTTAGGCCCCAGGCAGACTTGCCTACTTTTAAAATTGTCTAACTGTTGCTTGGTGACTGTTTTATGTTTGTTTAGTCATTTTTAAAATAAAAGTTCTTGTCTATTTTTCTAATGGGTTATTTATTTACTAAATTTAACAGCCGCAACGATTAAAAACCAATTGGGTACTTGGCAACTAGTCAAATTCAATACTTTTTTCGAACTGTGAAACAAAGAGTTTCCTTTTCTTGTATAGAAGGACTAATTCTATGGATTGTCAGTATGCATATGTGAGCATCATGTTGGACTTTAATTTTTTTTTATTTTAGTAAGTTATTAGTATAATGCGTCAAGCGTGTCTTTGCATTGTTCTTACATATGCGTACAGTATTGAAATATGTATCAGAGACATTGTAGAACATACTTTTTTTAAAAGAGTAACGATTGGAGTTTCTTGCTCGTTGTTCTCCATTCGAATCTACTTTTTGGAATGAGCACCTAGCTTCACCTAGTTTCACTGACGGACTGACTGACAGATTATTATTTATTTAGTATCTGTTGACGTTTCAAAAGTAACTAACTATGGTTTAATTAAAAAAAATACTTTGACTTTGACTTTGACTTTGACTGTCAAAAACAACAGTTTTCTATGAATTTTGTACGAGATTGTGTATTGTGACGTCACTTTTTTTGTGTCAAACAGCATAGGTACTTATTTCTTAAAAATTTGCTGAAAAACTATTAAAATTGAGATGTTCATAAAACGAAAGTTTGATTATTGTTTAATATTTTATTGTATTGGATAGTCGAAATAATTCATTTTTTAATTAAGGAAAGTACTCAATTACAGTAACTGATGATATTCATTGTGATCAACTTCGTAGTGAGATCCAAAACAATCAGATTAGTCTAATAAGATACTTTAACCCTAAATGTATATCATTTTCTATCTAGCTACTAATGAACAGTTCACAAAATTTGCATTGATTATGAATATGAAAAAGGCTTTTAAAAATAGCGCACTACTTATTACGTGTATTGTATTTGATTGTAATAGAAAGTTCGCAAAAGGTGACTTAATCGTTAGATATCATATCACGTCAAAAAGTGGCAAGTTTGCTCGGATCTTTACGCTCATTTTGTGGCGTCTTTAATTGTGTATTGTTTAAGGATAATTTCTGTTCTTTTGTAAATCATCTGCGGTAACTGTAGCAAGACATTATCGCTTGAGTTTAAAGTCTTGACTGCAAAATTCTTCATATTTTTGCACAAAAGGTTTCATTCGTTGTTTCATTTGTTGCTCATTTTAAAATACTAAACTTCCACGAAATGACTTGGGACAAATTGAAACAAGAAGATGTGAGCTCAAGCTGAATAAGTCTCGAATATATTAAAATCTAACAAGTTGTTTACACAATATGAATTTCTGGGAAAAAGATTCCATTTTCTCGCTGTGAATATGAAGCAAATTGTGCATAAAACACTTATTTATTTATATTTTAGTTGAAAATATTAAAACTAAATGAAGATTGATTTATTGTTCTTCGCTTGTATACAAATTTTACATACTAACTCATTTAAGTTTTATGCAGGTAGCCTAGATGAATTAAAAGTCAGGTACAAAGATTTTCAAACTTTAAATCAATCCCCTAGTGTCCATTTCGTACAATCCGAATTTCAATAAAATAAAAGTCAAATAGACCCTTTCAAGATTTCACTAAACTACTTTATCTTGTTGACAAGACCCTTTTCCGTACAATTGAAACTTTTTGATAAATCTTATTAGGTTTTTTTACTATAAACAGGTAACTGAGTTCCTTTGCATATCGTTCTCTAGATAAGACATAGAGAAGAAATAGAAAAAGAAAATTACAGACGGTACAAATTATACCGTGACATTACAAATACAATTGGAAAACAAAACAATATTATTATTGCGCCATATTGTCACCATAGTGCAAATGGCCAAATGGCGCGTTAAGGTGAATGCTGTGGCCCGAACACGAACCTACCAGTTATAATACCTACTAGAAGAAATAGGGTTGAGAATTGTTTTGTTTTTACAGGATATTCAAGTTATTCAACAGAACAGTTTATGGCGGCAACTCCAGCCCCTGCAATACATCCTCAAGACTCCCGAGCAAGTCCACCAACGCCCCCTTGTGGGAGAGTAGGCCGGTATCGGGGGTCTGCGTCTGCGCGTCTTCGACAGCGCATGCGTGATATGGTGCGCATTATTGGTGGACGGCCCGCGCCACCTGGCAAATGGTCCTGGCAAGTCGCTGTACTAAACCGATATAAGGTAATTTTTAAACCTTTTTTAATGATATAAAAAGGGCAGTAAATTGTAGGTATTTATTTGAAATAAACGAGTGCCAGTTATTAGATTTGATAAAACGTTTGATTGAACAGTCTAACAGAGCCACCATAAGTAATTCCGCAACTGTCTACCGCAGGCAATTGGAATTTGTAATTTGTTCACCAAATTGGATTAAATGTTAATTTTACACTTGTTTGCATTTCATGAACTTTAGAAATACGGAAATATTGACGTTATTTAACCGACATTTAAAAAATAAACACGAAGATCTGATATAAAAATGAATAAATGAACATAGCACTATGAACCTAATTTTAATAATTGGATATTCAATTTTAAAACGAATTAAAATGAAATCTTAGTGTTTAAAAAGTCACTGGTTTATTCGCTCCAGGTTACTACTGCTTTCACGGGTTGTTTGTTAGACTACCTATTAGCAATCGTACGTAGTGTAATTATTTGCCATATACGCAACATTCGGTATTTAAATGGCATTAAACTATGCTACTGCATTATGTGTTGAAACGAGGATGATAACGAGATTGAAAATTAAAAATGTATTGAGTTCGTCAGTTAAGTAATAATAATATGTTGAACCCATTATTTTTTTTATTTTGTCGTTTAGAAAACAATACTTTGATAAAACGAACGAACAAAGTTTAGGAGGGGGAACTCTTACCTAGCATAAGTTTCACGCGTTATTTCCGATCAATATATCGACGAAATTATTTATTTCTATAAAAAATACGTGTCTAATGTTTTAAAATAAACCAGTTGGACCTAATATCCAATTGTTTTCTTGCTCTGTGTTTTTTTGTGTTCAGTTTATGGTAATAGGCTTACCTCCTAGTCGATGGGACTCGTAACATAACTAGGTGAAAAGTGGGTGCTATATTAAAGATTAGCACCTCTGTCTATCTCATCGGGGATCAAAAGATCTTCTAAATATACCTAGATGATAAAATTAAATTTAAACACATAAACATTTAACATCGCGTCTTTTATCCCCGAAAGGGTAGGCAGAGGTGCACATTTACGGCACTTAATGCAACTGTACAATGCAGCACCCACTTTTCACTATTTATGTTATCAGTCCCATAGGGGATATCAGGGGCCTATTGCCATATACCGGGCACAACTCCGGACTCCGGGCTATTACTGAGGTTTTTAAAAACCCAGTAGTACTTTGACCGACCCGGGAATTGAACCCGAGACTCACTCGAGGCAGTACTTAAATTTAAACTAAAAGTAATATGAAAATATTAGAATAAATATTTATATAAACATCATTATATTTCATCGAACTTTTATTATTTCTATGTTAAGTTCTATATATAAAATGTTACCTACTAATTCTATGAATAATTTACAAGAATGTGTATAAAGAATGTTGGATAAATAAAGAGAGTAATTAAATGTAGGAATGTTTAATTTGTGTACGTATCTGCTTTTTGTGAAAATAAATCGTACATAGGTTTATGCCAGTCAGTTCTGTGCTAAAATAAATTACGCTGTGTTTAAATTGATTACCTTACGTTGAAATACTCAAATGCCATTTCATTTTAAGTTCACTTAAGTATAGTTCTGTTACTACAAATTCTTTGTAAAAAGACAGAGATGGCATGATATTTAAGTACATACTAATTAAAATTGAGTAACCTTTTAGTGTCGGGCTTCAGTGTTTTAAAAATATGTGAAGTGTTGTGATCACTGTTAAATTAGAAATGAGGTAAAATTAATTATTAGCTACAAACGAATTAATTATGTAGAGTAATTTTTTTATGTAACGTTTGATGAGGTAGCTCAACTAGTTTCAAACCACGTCGGGGCCTATATATTTGACCAGCGATTTTTGAGAAAAATATACCTGGCATGTTTCATGATAGTTATTTACAATATAAAAATGGTAATGTTCAAGTTCTAGTTCTACTTTCTGCCCTAATTAAAAACAAGCTTAGCTATTTATTTACTTAAACTGTCAAACACCAAGCGGTCACCGGTGACCGCGACCTATTGTTCTTTAATTGTGTCTATAAAACCGGTACTCGACGAGTTAATCTAAATTTATCGTGTCGGCCTACCTTCCTAGCTTTCTATTCCATAACTTACAGGAAATGTTATTTAAGGAACTATTCGTAAAACTAAAATAAGAGTGATTGCTACAAATAATATTTATTTATTTTGTTAATAAAAAACTGAGTCACGCACAAAAGTATTTGCTTTAATTGTTTGACTAATTTGTTTAGAAATTACTGCCTGCGGTTTAGTCGGTGTAATTTGCATACACGCGATGTAGTTAACTTACGTTGGTTTGGTTATAATTATGTTAATTTCTTAGATTGTCGCTCGTCTGTTTATGTTTTACATTGTTGGTGTAATTCCGAGATATGTCAATTACTCACTTGTTAATTGAGTATTGATTGTTATTCCGGAGCGTGAGATCTCGGGGTTTCATTTTTGACTGGGGAAAATTATCAAAAGATATCTCTAGTCTTGGATAAGGCGAGAGGGAGTGTCAAACACTAACTAACTAAAAAAAAAACACCCTGTTTCTATTGCTCCGAGCCGGGGCCCTGGTAACCCGCAAGCCCCGTGAAGTCAGACCCCGGTTTGTATAAAGTATTATAGAACTGTTCCGTTTTCAGTTCTTCGATGGCATAATCAGTGTAAAATGTGTTTCTTTTGCTTTTGCTAATATTATTTTGCTGTTGTGAACTTTCTATATTTTGGCGTAAGTAGTTAGTCATCTAAAATGTTTTCTAAATACCTATTTCCCTTTTAACTTTTTGTATTACTTTGACCTTCCAACGAACTTTTTTAATAAAATAGGTCTTCCTACCTTACCTAAAAGCCAATTAAGGCGATGTCGACGATGTAGGTTTAGGCTTTTATTCAAAAATGTCTTCATTTTGCTCATACTGAGTAAGCACTCGAAGTGTACTTACTAAACATCAAATTGGTTTTAGGAAATTCCTATAAGTACTCAGGTACTCATCTAATTCCGTCCCTGTGTAATTACGATTACTTTTTAAGATAGCTTAGTGTTAGGTATGTAGGTAGATGTGCGTGTGCCGACGCACCAATAAGTGCCAACAATAAATGTCAGTGCGTTACTAGCAAGCAGTGGTTTCACTTGTGTCCCCGTATTTAACATTGGCGACGAGGACCTACCCGCGTAAAATAAAGTAACAATGTCCGTTACGGGGTTTGGAATTTTATCGGTGTTTGACCACAATGTACAATCTTGGGAGACGTACAAAGGCCGCATTAATCAGTGGTATGTGGCTAACGACATCACGGAGGTGAGCGATCCTACGGGGATAAAGCGACGAGCCATTCTGCTGAGCGCACTCGCGGATGGCACCCACAAGTTGGCAGTGGATCTCGCGTTGCCGAAACAGCTGCAGGACGTGCCGTATGAGGACATTCTGAGACTTCTGGATGAACATTTTACTCCAAAGCGGTGTGGATTCGGCGAAAGGTACAAGTTTTACGCGGCCACACAACAGGAGGGGAGACGTATGCACAATGGGCGGCGAGATTGCGAGGTCTGACGGCGCACTGTGGGTTTTCCAATGTGGAGGAAGCCCTTCGTGACAAATTTGTCATGGGAATGTTGCCGGGAGCGGACAGAGAAAAGCTTTTCTCGAAAGATCTAGCGGGCCTAACATTAACAAAGGCGATGGAGTTGGCGGAGAATGCGCGAAGAGCTCGTGAGGCAGCGGGCGCCGGGCAGCAGGCTGCGCCACGCGATCAGCTGTTTAAGATTGCGCGGACAAAGGAGTCGGCAACGTCATCGTATCGTGAGGCCGCGTCTGGTTCGGGAGTGAAAGTGCAGTGTCAAGTATGTGGTTATCATAATCACGAGACATCCCAGTGTCGGTTCGCAAAGGCAAAGTGTAGGAAATGCAATGCTACCGGGCATCTGCGTAGGATGTGCAAAAATATTAATTATGTCGAATCGAAAGCTGTGGATGAGAGCGATGATGACGGTGAGTGTTTTAATATTCGATCCGTAAAAGGGGAACCAATGATAGAAACAGTATTGGTATCTGGAATCGAATTAAAATTCGAAATTGATAGCGGATCAGCCGTTACAGCAATTTCTAAAGAAACATATGAAACATATTTTAGTAATGTACCATTGTTAATGACTAGTAAACGGTTATTTTCATATACGGGTGATAAAATTGTTTGTGAGGGTATAGCGCAGTTACAGGTGAGCTATGCGAACACATCGCATGTACTATGTGTTTACGTCGTGGGGACGGCGGCCCGCCAATTCTTGGCCGCGATTTCATTTCAAAATTTAAATTAGAAATGTTACCGATACAATATTGTGACCGAGTAGATAAAAACGATTTGTTTCTAACACTGCAAGGTCGGTATCCAGCAGTCTTTTCCGATAAATTAGGATTATTTAATAAATTTAAAGTAAAATTACATTTAAAGGAAGACGCAAAACCAGTTTTCATTAGAGCACGACCGCTAGCGTTTGCTTTGAAAAATAAAGTTGATAACGAAATAGATCGTTTAGTAAGGCTCGGGGTATTGAAACCGGTTGATCACGCGCGGTATGCGTCACCCATCGTGCCCGTGTTAAAACAAAACGGAACAATACGTATATGCACTGATTTTTCTACCGGTGTAAACAAACAGTTAATGATCGATCAATATCCTTTACCAACGGTAACCGAACTTTTTTCTAAGTTATATGGGGGACAGCAGTTTACCAAGTTGGACTTGTCAAATGCATACAATCAGTTTATGTTAGATGATGAGTCACAAGAATTAACGTGCATAAATACGCATAGAGGACTTTTCAAACAAACGCGGCTTTGTTTTGGTATTGCAAGCGCGCCGGCCGTGTTTCAGCGCGCGATGGAAGGCGTGCTGGCTGGCGTGCCCGGCACACTCTGCATGCTTGATGATATCTTGATAACGGGAGAAACTAGATCGGAACATCTCAGTAGATTACATCA